CATGAAATTCAAGTTCAATCGAAAATATGCGCATAAACAGCGCCAGAATCGGAAAGTTTGATTTCCCGCGAAAGTCGGGTTACAGCGCCCGCATAAACCCGACGGAGGAAACTTGCATTACAAACTCGGGTTTCGTGAAACCTTGGTTTCGAGCCTCGCATAAACGTAGCTACTGATGACGTAGGTGGGTACAAATCCTCAAGATGCAAACACCTCCTTTTTTTTCTCTATGCCGAAAACACTTCTTCACTATTTGTTTGCGTTTGCGAGTTGCGACAGGGACCATTTCTACAGAACCCTGGACTCCCGTAAGAGCCAATGTAAAAATTCGTGAGCAGGTACTAGTGCTGCTATCTCGCGTAGGACCCTCGCAACTCACTGCTGTTATCAGTTGTTGGACTTCATTAAAATCCGTAGGAATGCGTATAACTGCAAAAAATCGAATTTTTCGCCGCACATATCATAACGCTGGATCCTACCTTGTCGGAAGGGGTCGAAAACCGCCAAAAATATACTTATTTTTCAAGAATTCCGCCGCCTTAAGTGTTATTTTTCAATCTTCGGCTTAACCTCACTTTTGGAGCGGGCGATGGATGAGTCGAGGTTCGGGGGGAAGGATCCTCTGAGTTGACTAGGGTCCTACGCGAGAATGCGCTGCAATCACCCGCTCACAACAGAACGGCGTCCTATAGAACTCGTCCCTGGTTGCGACAATTGCGACCATAGAGCATAGAGTACAATAGAGTCGCAATGTTTTTTTTTTTTTTTTTTTTTTTTTTTTTTTTTTTTTTTTNTTTTTTTTTTTTTTTTTTTTTTTTTTTTTTTTTTAGGAGCTTATAGCGCCCTCTTTATAGAGTCTTTTAGAGTCTAGTATAAAAGCTAGAAGCCTCGTCCCTCGTCCCGTGGAGACGGTAAATGGGAAAATTCCCAGCAGAAGTTTCATTGCTGCGATTCGAATTTGGGACAAATCCCATGAAAACGTCCCGGGGAGACAAGGCCTTAATTGAGCTAAAGATTTGAAACTTGGGGGATGTTCCAAGGTCAAAGGGAGCTACTTTTTGGTCCCCCTAAAATTTTCACGGGGCCCCCCATGAAGGCTCCCCTGGGGGGAGGGACGGACCCCAACTTTTAATTTTCAAATGGGAAGACACCTTTAATGATAGCTCGTTTGAAAGAGCATAAAAAAAGTAAACTTTCTGTGCAAACCCGAAGTCTATATCTCTAACCGTCTCAAAATGGCGGCCGGTTAAGGATCAAAATGGCCAAAAATTTACACCGGTTATTTGTCGATGGATTGGCGCGAAAATCGGAATTTACCGGTATTTCGACACGAGAAAAACGAATATTACGTTAGATTTTCAAACAAAACCGAAATTTCCAAAATGGCCGCCGATTAAAGTTCAAAATGGCCGAAAATTGCCACCTCAGTTTTTTGCTGATTGATTTGCCTAAAACTTGGAATTTGAGGGTATTTTGGCATGAGATTAACACATTTGAACTTAGATTTCTAAAAAAAAACAATTTTTGGTCATTTTGAACTTACACCAGCGGCCATTTTGAGAATTTTAGGGGGGCAAAGAAGTAGCTCCTTTTGACCTAGGAACATCCCCTAAAGCCCCACATACACGGTGAAAGTGGACCTTAATATTGGCTTAATGTGGCAGTCACCGATGCGTTGTTGAGCGGTGAACCTTAATATTCGCCGGGCCGACGATTATTAAGGCTCACCGATGGTATTCTGAATCAACGATCACCATCCTCTGGAGGATTGCTCTGTGTTTGGTTTTCTCTAGAGTACCTGTATAGCGAGAGTATGGACAGATCGCTTCATGGAGGGCTTAGGGCCCAAAAGTGCAGCCACCCTTTTAACCAACTTCTAACGCACCAAATTTCACTGCCAGTCTGCAGATTCCAATTCTAACCATGATGGCCAAGAATGTACAGAAATGAGCGTTCTTCCGTGAAATTGAGTAAATTTATGCAAAAACTGAGTCAAACACGTACTTAATAAACGACGGTTCGTAACAATAGTATAAGTAAATCGTTCTGGATAATTGAAATTCATAGGTTGGCTGCATTTCTGGGCCCTAATTTTATTCGTAGAAGCATCGGTGAAGGCCTGATGGATTTTCGGAGTTTCACATCTGTCCATACTCTCGCTATACAGGTACTCTAGTTTTCTCCAAACTTCCAAAGACATAAAGACGGAGCACTAAAAGCAAAAAATGAAGCTTCTAGAGCTCCTTCTCAATCACCTCTACTATTGGCTAGAGGATTGGCGGCGAAATCGGGACAAATTTGAATTCAAATCTAGGGCGGGAACTAAAAAATAAAATTGCGGAAACAAAGTATTTTAGGTTGATTTTTGCCCAAATTCAGGTACACACTCATATTTTTTTAACTTTAGGTTAGTTTCAGTCCGTCGTCGACCGATTAATTTCATTTGGGAGTAACATTGATCTAGAACTGTAACGGCCTGTTTGAACCTGCAGAACCACCATGAGCAGAAGAAAAACTAACTTTATGTGAGATTACTGCCTGTTACCGAGCAAAAGTAGGTGTATTATATTAGGACGCAGACTAAACTTTCTTAGTATATTCGTTTTAGGAATTTAAAATACGTTTCAAAGAAGAAATGTGCAAAAATCAAGAGGACAAGTTCAAATCAAATTTCCATTTGCCGCCATGGATTCCCGCGCTCATTTACACACTCACACAAGCGCGCAGCGCCGAACCTAGCTTCACTTTTTCCCCGTGCTTTTAAGGCCTAGATACACACGGCGATTAATCGCCGCGATTGGGTTGGTTCGGGTCGCATCGCTCAACGCAATACAATCAACAGAGGCCATCAGTGCGATCACGTATACACCTAGCGATTAATCGCCGCGATCAGCGCTAATTGTTAATGTTATTATAACCTTAAAATGATCAGTATCTTATCTAGTTGATCATATTGATAACAGGATAGTCGTAAGTACTGTGCCCAAAAGACTAGTGCCTTTTTTTAATTGAATGAAGATGAAGATTTTCAACTGAATAATGTTTCCTATTTCTGAAGTTCTGGTGCCTCTCTTGAATAATAAGTGGCTAATGAACGGACACACTTCTGCTGCAATTTTAACAATTTTCGCATCAAATGTAAAAATAAACATACTATAAAACTAATTGACGAGCACCTCGAAGACAGAAGAACGTAAACAAAAACACATGTAGACCACATGTACTGGTGGATTTCGCATCGATCAAGAATAAACAGGACTCAACAAATGCATCTACTCGCCCAAAAAGTAGGATTGAATCCTACTTTGGATTCAATCGCGGCGATTGGAGAAATTCCGAGAATTT